GAGGTTTGTCACATTCTGAGGCTGAGCTGAGACAGAGGACCACTGAGTAGCAATGTGACTACTCAGCAAACAACAGCCAGCTCTGGCACACTTCCTGTGAGGCCAAACTTAAAAACAATGTGTGTTTCTAGTAGTTGAAAAATATTTTTGTCATGAAGATTATATGACATTTGAATTTTTGTGTTTATCACCCATATTGGTTAATTTATGTATTATCTATGTCTGACCAAAGAGATACATGTTTAAGACAAAGACTGGGTATTTCATAGATTCTAAACTCCTTGCTTTCTGCTCTTCTACAGAAAAAGTTATCCAGCCCCAGACAGCTAACTATGGGTCTAAGGTCAGCCTGCCTCAAATTATGGTGCCCCATACATTTTTTTTTTTAAATCCAACTGAATGATTTTAAGCAAGTCAATCACTTGAGACCTCAGTTTCTTCCATCTTTCAAATAGGCATGATAGGTAGTTAAAACTTAAAAGCATTTTGAGATAAGTAAACTAGTAAATTTTATATGTTGATCTCTGAGAATAGACCCTATAGCTAAAATCCCAATATTTGATAGGCAGATGTTGGTGGGTCTATGTGAGTTCGAGGCTAGCATGATCTATATAGTGAGTTCCAGATCAGCCAAAGCTACAAAATGTGACCCCGTCTGGAAAACAAAAAACCAGTAACCAGTATTAGTATGTTATCGTTTATTTATTGCAAGCAAGTCACCATGAGAGTATAAGTTGGAATTTAACATGAGGATGATGAAAGCCACCTTCTGTAGTCGGAGGGTGGACTAGGGGAAACACTAGCACCCACAGATAGAGCACTGCAAAGGTCCTCCTGTCATGGCCAAATGTTTGAAAGTTGTTGTTGGTTTATTTGCTTGCTCACATGACAGAAATAGTTCTTCTCACCTCTGCCTGACTCCTGACCAGAAGCAGGGTCATTGCCTAGCCCTGTAGTAGTATGGTCTAAGTGTCTGTGCCATTCCTGGGGAGTAGTAGTGGCTCAGTAAAGGTGTAATCTCAAGGCATCTGCAGACATGATGTATGCTGTCTTCATATCGCACTCAGCCCCACTCTGCAAAATGAAGTACAGAGAAAACAAATAGTTCTCTCTAGGTCTATTTCTGTGGAACTGTTTTGAAGGAGAAAAGAGAAATGGCGCTATATTCTGTTGATGTGGCAGGCAGTTTCTTACTTGATACCATCGGCTTTGCTTTTTACCTCTTGGGAGGAAGATTGAGGACATTGAAAGGTCAATGTGGCTCTCTAGAAAAAGAATATAAAAAGACATTAAGAAGAGCTCGTGTTAAAAATACAATCACACAAAGTGCTATATTCCCTTTTGTTTGCAGTTGGCTCATGAGATACATTAAGCTGCTATATAAATCCTTTATGGAAAAGTATGAATTCTGTGCCCATCTTCATTCTCTTCCTATCCACACCTCCCTTCTTCTTGTTGGGCTTACTTTTTTACCCCTTCCCTCTCCTCTGAATAGGAAAATTTTTGCATAAAAGTCAATGCTAATTCCTGATAGAAATCCATAGCAATCTTGATAGTGAAAGAACTTCCTCTACTTGATAAGGGTCTCTCATGCTCTCATCAAGTACAATAAATACAAAATGAATGTTTAAAAATAGCCACTCTGGCAGGTAGGGAAGCTGGAGATCTGGCTCAGCAGTTAAGAGCACTTGCTACTTACTCTTACAGAGACCCAGGTTTGGTTCCCAATATCCACAATGATGCCCACAACCATCTATAACTCCAGTTCCAAGGGATCTAACACCATCTTCTGGCCTCCAAGGGCATCAGGCACACACATGATACATGTATGTATATGCAGGCCAATATTCATACACATAAAGTTTTGCATGGGTAAATATTTCTCTAAAATTTTTATTTATTTTATTTATTTTTAAACTTTGATAGTTGAGCATGGTGACACATACTTGCAATCCCACCACTAATGGCAAGTAGACCAGGAATTCACAATCTGTCTCTACTATATAGTTCTAGGCCAGCCTGAAATATACAAAACATTATATCATACAATACTCACAACAACAACAAAATAATTTTAGAATCAGCAATGAGATTAGCATACCCAATATCTTAACTTGTAGTAAACACCATACAGGCAGTCCTAATTAATGTAACAAAACAATAAAACTTATAAAGATTAAACAGAACTGTTGTTATTCAAACTGACTTACCCCTACCCTTTAAACATTCTTTAGCCATGGGCCTTCCTGCCTGGCCTTCAGATCATATGGTGGTGGTATGTGCACTGGAAACTGTGTATTTTGTGCCTGGGTGTAGCGTTGGCCTTGGGCAGCCTGGTCTGGTGGTGTGCTTTGTTGGACCAGGCAAGCTCTCTGTAGGTTATCTCTGTCACCTTCCTGCAAACCCGAAAACATCCTTGGTATTGCATTTGCTAGTTCTTAGTAATGCTATTTACTTAGAATCTGGAAATATTTTCTCAGAGGGCTCTTTAGACAGTAGTAAGATGTAGCTGGAGACAGACTCAGTAAATGGAAAAGAAAAATCAAATTAGGCCAAGAATTATTATTAATCTATTATTCTCACAGCAGGCCCTTAAGGATAGCACCATAATTCATATTTCACTCAAGTGGGACAGACCTAAAGCCCCTCCCCCACACTTAGATCCTATAATATGTAAGTATTCAAGTTCTGAACGTGCATCTGCCTGCATTGCCAGAGCACAGCACAAAATCGTGGCAGGCAGGGTGGCTTCCAGTACTCTTTGCTTAGGAACATTGATCACCAAAGAGCAGCCTGCTGTTGACTCCCGTGGGTGCGGCAGGAAAACAGTTCTGACTGCCATTCCATGTAGCAGCATTGTGCTAGGCCAGTGCTGCATTGGATATGTATCCTATAGCTGTGTGGGTAATGCACAGCTGAGTGGACCATCTAAACTGGGCAAGCAGAGCGTGCCAAGTGCGTCCCTGCCCTGCTTTAAAGCAAGACACCCCAGCTGCGTTGACCCTTCAACTTCCTCATTCTGATACAGCTTTAGCTATGGAAAAGAGACTCCCACTCTCTGGGCTCTGAGATGCAGGATTACCTGAGACCAAGTTCTTTTCCCCTGGAACTTTCATAGCATGCTGCAATGCAGTTTACTCCAACAAAGTGAGTGAGACCGAAACCCTGGCATTTCTAGATTAAAGCAGAAGCCATTTAGAGAAATTCAGGGAGTCCGGAAGAGGCTACGTGGGCTCAGTATACTGAATGTGTAAATATGACATAAACAGGGGGGATTTTAAAAAGCATGCTCTGGGCACAGATGACCAGGCAAGGAGCACCCTGAAGGACATCCTCACCTGGAACACTCCCATCCTTTGTAGTGCGGTCTCTCATGTTAGGAGATTGTCTGTTGCATTTTAAAACCTAGCCTTCCTAACGTTCCCAGGATTGTCTGCTGTCAGCTCAGCTTAGCATGCCCGGAAGCCAGAGAGGTCCCTGGCAGCCGGATCCATTCTGTCTGAGAAAGCCAACTGACTGCTTTGTGAGCTCACAGTTTAACTCTTTGGCACCATGGAATTGTTTTTGAACATCTTTAGGTTTAAATTTTTCTTCTACTGAAAATGTCAGCAAGTTGGTAGAGTCTTGTTAAGAGGGGGCTTCTGATTTCTGAGGCTGGCAAGGGCATCAGATGATAGGAAAAACCTCTCTGCCAGGTCCCAGATTCACAAAGGATTTCTCCAAGCATCTGCTATGTTTAGAATACCCTGCAGGAAGAATTGGAAATTGCAACTCAACCCTCCAAACTTTGAGAACAATGCTGAAAAGGAAAGATGAACACGTGTGTGTGTGTGTGTGTGTGTGTGTGTGTGTGTGTGTGTGTGTGTGTGTGGTGAGAGAGAGAGAGAGGAGGGGGAGGAGGGGTGATTGGTTGGTTGAAGTCTGCTGCAACTCGCTGATTTGGCATTTTTCCATCACAATTTCATGTCTTCATGTGCTGTCCAACATCTACTACAGGTCAGACGGAGCTTAGGAAAATGAGGGTAATTGTCCTCTTTATCTTGTAAAATGTCCTGTTTTCTTCCTCTTACAGTCTGTTTTTATTTGTGTCATTTCTTGTTAGCATTCATTGGAAAGGGAGTCGCCCTCTCCCCAGCCAGCCAGCTCTGGAGTAACTTACAGATTTGTAGGTGATGTTTTCTGTGGAGGTGACTTTAAAACACATGTGGCTATAAATAGTATGGAAACCAATACCATGATACAAGTGACTCCCTGTGCTTTGCCGTTTGCCATTAGGTATTTTATAAATTTCAGTATATGCTTCTCCATTATTATAGCTACAAAGATGCTTTCTTATGATCCTAGAAATAAAACTTATTTTAAAAAAAATTGGAGCTGGTCAGATGTCCCAGTGAGTTAATGTGCTTGCCACTAAGACTGATGACCTGAGTTTGATCCCTGGGGTCCACATGGTGGAAGAAGGGAACACACTCCAGGAAATTGTTCTGTGACCCCTCCCCCACACCTCCAAACAGAAATAAATGTTAGACTTTAACTTAATTTGATGAATTAAAATAGGAAACCGAATGGATAAAACATACAGAAAAAAAAATGATTCTAACAAGGTGATGGGAAGGATTTTTAAAACATGAAACCAGAAGCAATAAAAGACATGCCACTACCTGGCAAGGTCATTGGCTAGGAAATCAGAGCCGGCTTCTCTCCTCAGCAATGGGAAAGAGTCCATTGAGTAGAAGCTTGGAATGAAATCATGACTGATGGGGGTGGGGGGTGCAGGGATGGGGGAGTGGGGTGGAGTCCTGCCCTTCTGCCTTCCTACTGCCTCTGTCTGCATCTCCCCAGACCCTCCCCCATCATTTCTCTTGCCTGGCTCCTCAGCCAGATCATCTATGTAGATTCTAGGGCACAGATCACCCAGCCCCCTGCAATTCATGGAGCAGGATGGATGTGACATGACTTTGACAATGTCCTCTAATTTATTTATTTTTCTTACTCTACAGGAACCTAGTAATAAAAGGGTCAAACCCCTTTCGAGAGTCACATCCCTAGCAAACCTCATCCCACCTGTGAAGACCACACCGTTAAAGCGCTTCAGCCAAACCTTGCAGGTAAGGGAAAGAACGTGGGCAGGGGTTGCAGAAAGCTAAGCTGTGCTCATGCACAGAATTTCTGCTGGTTTCAGGTCAACTTGACTCACCACCTGCTACTGGGGAGGAGTGCAAGTGAGGGGTGTGCAAGGAAGAAAAATGTGTGCAAGTTGTAACCCCAGGTTAGGTTGACTCAGGACCTCTTCTGCTAGGCTTTGCTCACAGTTGTATTTCTAAGTCATGGGTTACACCCAGAGCACACGCTTACTGGTTTTGCCTAGCAATATCTCTGGACTCCTGGGATATCAGTGTATGATATGAGCTGGATGATGGCACAGCCTGGTGGTTTCAAACAGGGTCAGCTCATAAACTAATGATGGTTTCTACTTTTTTAAGTGTTTGGGGGAGGAAATGAAAAGAAGAGTATTTCTTATATGTTGAAACCATATGAAATTCTAATTTTACTGTCCATAAGGAGCTTGGTTTGGACACCAAGCTTGCCTATCTATTTACAGAAAAGGTTTGCTGACTTCTGGGTTAGAACAAAAGCCCTGAAGTGTCTTGGTTCTGCCTTTAGTTCTCCATTGAAGGCTGCCAGTTTTAGGCATGTAACTTAGCATTTCTAAGTTAACTTAATATTTCCAAACATTGCTTTTATTCCTTGGAAGCAAATTTAACCTTGCAAAGGACCATAGCACCTTTGTAGAAAAATTGTAAAGATTTATGAGGCAATAAATTCAAGAGCCTTTAGTTATTACTAGCTATGTAGAAAACATTGTCCACAGTAGTAATTTTTAGTTAACAAGTGCATATAGTTGTTTTTAAACTTTATTATATTTTTATTTTGTATGTGTGTGTGTATTCGTGTGTGTGTGTGTGTGTGTGTGTGTGTGTGTGTGTGTGTAGGCATGTATGTGCCACGATGCTTATGTAGAGGTCACAGGACAATTGGCATGTAATCAGTCTTCTCCTTCCACCATGGAGACCCAAGGGATTGAACCAGGTCATCAAGCTTGGCAACAAGTGCCTTTACCCACAGAGCCATTTCAGTGGATCTATTCTTAACCTCTTACTGCAGCTTGCCTTTTAGCGTGAAGATTGAGATCCAGCCTTGGGACCAATTTGTAATCATAGAAATACCCCTTTAGACTGAATCCCACAAAAGTCAGCCCATGGAGTCTCACCCAGCATAGCTGAGCAAGTCTTGAATCTGTCCTTTTTCATTTGTCTTGCATTGCTTAGCTGGGCTTAGCAATGTTTTTATCTTGACCTTGAACATCTAAGAAAATTATAGCCCAAGAAAGATGCTTCCAGGTGAAGATTTCTCCTTAGTTCTTCTCTTCCCTAAGGAAAGAATTTAGTTAAATACAGAGTTTAAGCAGAAGTTTTTGTAGCAAAGTGTTCACACTGAAGAAGTTGGAGTGATTGACCCAGAGACATGCCTTGTAGCTGGAGTTTTCCTGTCCCACCAGGTCCTGCTGCCCTTTAACCCCAAATAACCATACAAAGACATATTAATTATAAATTGTTGACTGATGGTTAGGGCTTCTTATTGGCTAGATCTGTCTTGATTATTAACTCACTTCTATTAATCGATGTATTTTCACATGGTCTTGGCTTACCAGAGAATACCCAGACTTGTTACTTCTTTGGCAGCTACATGGTGTCTCCTCAAGGCACCTCCCTGTCTACCTTTCCCAGAATTCTCCTAGTCACACAGTCTTCCCACCTCTATTGACCAAACAATGTTTTGTTCATCAACCAATAAGAGACACATAGATACAGAAGGACTTCCCCATCAATGCCTCGTGCTGATAATCATTACTTGAGAATGCTGAGGGTCTCCTAGAGCCCTTTGCACCCCTGCTTCCTTAGTATTTGAAGAATGTACACAGCCCTGTGATGCCAACCCTTCCCACTGCTTACCCCCTCTCACATACCCACCTCTCTGTTAACTCTGCTGTTAACCATGAATGGATAGCCTTACCACCCAGTTAGCTCTGGGTTTGGCTCCATCTGTCTCAGTGTCTGGAACTGTTATCCTCTGGTCTCTTGGTGGGAAGAAGACAGGAAGAAAGTAAGATTTTGTGGGGGAGTCAGCCTGCAGAGTGATTGGAGAAGGATGTGTTTGCCTACTGTCCCTTGTGGCCAGTGTCTCAGCCCTCTGGACAACTTCACTGCAGGCCTTTCCTGGAAGATTCATTATCACCTGCACATCTGGTCTTTTGCTGAGTTCTGCTTTTTGAAGTCTTTAGACTGTCAACTGTGTTTGACCCTTTCCTCTCCAGTCTGCTGGTCTCAGTTCAAGTTCACTGTGTGTTATTTCATCCCTTCATGAAGGGAACCTTACACTGATGGCCTCTCTTCCTACTGTGTCTCCCAGGATGATCCACCCTGTGCCAGGGAGGCCTTGACTCTACAATTGTCCTTGGAGCTAGCTGTTGGTACCTTTACTTGCTAGCACTGCCTGGCTTCGGCTTTGAGTTTGTGTTCCCGAGAACACTGTCTCCTTCCCCGTAGCCTATCCTGATTACATACCTTCACCATTTTTCTTTAGATTTCCAGGCAATCTGTATTTGTTTTTTGTTTTTGTTTGTTTTTTGTCCTTTTTTCTGGTTTCTAGGGTTTCTGCACAGGAAACAGGGCAGAAAACAGTTGATTGTCTTAGAAATTTACATTGTCCTAGAGAACAAGGACAATGTAAAGAAAGGAATTAATTAAGCAATGTCTGAAAACTAACAGACTGAGATTAAGCAAGAGTGAGAAAGCCAGACCCAAGAGAGAGTCTACCATGTGAAAATTGTCTTCTAGCCAGGCAGTGATGGCACTAACCTTTAATCCCAGCACTCGGGAGGCAGAGGCAGGATCTCTGTGAGTCTGAGGCCAGCCTGGTCTACAGAGCCAGTTCCAGGATGGGCTCCAAAACTACACAGAGAAACCCTATCTCGAAAAACCAAAAAGAAAAAAAGAAAATTGTCTTCTAAATCTTCAGAGATATTTTTCTCTTACAAAATGAGTTTTCTGATGAGCTTTTTCAGCTGCCATGATAAATAGCTCACCCTAGACTGTATGTATGGGACAGAAATAGAAAAGTTATCAATAGTGGTTATGCACTTAGAAACAAGAGAACTTGAGTAGTGTGTTGTTTGAAGGGAAGAGGTTAGTGAATAGAAATACACCTCCAAGCTTGTTTGTACACACCATGTTCATGGGATGATCTGTGAGAATGGTGAATGCTATCTGGCTCCCAGGTGTCCCCTGTATGCCACTGTGAGACATGCAGTGTAAACTTCTCAACTTTGTTTTGCAAACTAGCATTCTGCCTACTGCCTTCTCACTTCACCATTTTCCTTACCAGCTAGAAAGGGAAAAAGTGCTAAAGTAGCCAAGGGAACAGGGAGGATGAAGAGGAAGAGTGGGCTCCAGGGGATGCTCAGGATCCAATTTCAAGAGCTTTCCCAACTTGTTTAGCTATCCATGTCATTTCTATTAGGGAAGAAACAAGAGGAATATGGCATGCCCACCCTGTTGGCACTTAGCAGCCATACCTTATGCACTTGTGTGTATAACTTATGTTCTAGTTCAAAAATCATGAGCATGAGGCAAGTTGGCTTATTTACTTCCCTTCTCTTTCTTTCTTTCTTTCTTTCTTTCTTTCTTTCTTTCTTTCTTTCTTTCTTTCTTTGTTTCCTTTATTTTTATTTTCAGTAATGGAGATTAGATCCAGGATCTTGCATATACAAGGCAAGGGTTTCCCTACCAAACTTTCTGTTTTGTAAATTTTTATTACATTTGTATTTGGGGGTTTGCACCTGCTATGGTGTACATGTGGGGTTCAGGAGACAATTTGTGCCAGTCGGTTCTCTCATTCTACAATGTGATCCAGATGAATGAACTCAGGTCGTCAAGCGTGGTGCCAAGTGCCTTTAGCACCTGAATCATCTCATCTGTGTGCATCTACCCTACTCCCTTTTTTGTTGTTATTGAGACAGGTCCTCATTATGTAGCCCAGGTATATAGCTCATCCTCCTGCCCTGCCTCCCAAATGTAAGATTAAAGGCATGTGTCACTATACCTGGCCCCTTTTTATATTTTTCCATTTAGAAACAAGTCTTACTAAGTTACATAGGTGGGCCTTGGACTCTCTCTGTAGTCTAGGCAGTCCTTAAGCTTTTTTATTCCTCTGCCTCAGCCTCTTGAGTGGCTGGGGTACCACACCTGTGCCACCAGATCCAGCTAGAGCTTGGTTTTCTGTTGCACTATTCCTTTTTCACTGCTCCTGGCACTTTAGAGACATATAGATCCTTTTGGATGTCCAGTTTCATCTCTCAGGCTGAGTTCCTCTAATTATAGGCCAAGCAGTGACTTAGACCCAAACACCATGCTTCCACGGATTCTTAGCGGTTAGTGGAGGAGGACTCTGGGCACCCCGAGCTGGCATACTCTTCCAGAAAGATTAAAAACCCATTTACAAATATGAGTGGTCTCGGAGGCAACACACTACCGGGTTTGTTTTCTCTTGCCTCCTGGCGCTGATGGACTGGGGAGTAGGGCCTCAGCACAAAGGCAGCTTTTGTGATGTCGACTATGGTACGCTGTCAGTTCCTCACCAGAGAAGTTTAGCATAGGGCAATGGGTAAACTGAAGCACAGATGTCTGGGTCCCCCAGGCCCATAAATCCCCTCTTCAGCATGCCTGAGAGGGAAACCTGGCCCGGCTCTAAAAGGGGCCCAAGTGAGCACCTTTCATGTGAATCGGGAATACCAGCTCCCATGGGCCAGCTGTGTATGGCTGCTAAACACATTTGAGTCAAGTCCAGCAAGGACAGAACTCATTGCCCTGTGATGTTCCCTTCATTCTCTTTGGACATGAACATCTTTGTTTTCTGTTACAAAGCATGTGCTCCCTATGGGGAAATACAGAAGAGAGAAACAGAATGTGTGTAAGTGTCTATTCTTTTCTTTTTTGCCATCTATTCTTAAACAATTCTTTTAACAGTATGGCATTTCTTTTCTGAATGA